ACTGCTCATTCTCAACAATACGCGACGCGCTCAAGGACGTCTGCAACATCGCGTTTGCGAATTCAGCTATGTTTTCAGTCGCTTTACTGTCCCTGGCCATTGCCTTTTCAGAGTCTAATCGGTCTTTCAGCTGTCGTACTGCAGTCCACGCCGTTGATACAGGGTCGGGCAGATACATGAATACAGAGCTAAATATGCCATCATACACCTCAATTTCCTTTGATAGTTCATGACAATATTGAAATATTAGCAGCGGAAGTGCTGTCTCTGCTTTTTTCGCAACCGCTATAGCCCTAAGTTTCGTCTTCTTATCCAGTGCAGATGATCCAAATCCTTCGTTATCTAGTTTGTACTTTTTCCCCTTCTTCGCCGCCTCCAGCGTTTCCTGCGCTCTCAACCAATGATCCCTCGCCAACGCTTCAATCATGCTCCACGGTTCGGCAAAGTATTTCTTTACAGCGTCTGCGGCAACATTCTGAGGGGTCGAAGCACCCTGTACCTTTTCAAGAGTGCTAGACTTTATCTTAGTTGTCAGGGTTTGCAGCAGCGCTTTGCCGCTAGCACCACCAAGCACATCTTCAGGCTTGCCACCAATCTGTGCATAAAGATCATGCGCAGAGCGCCAGAACTCTTCGCTGTCGTCGACGACAGTCTCAGCAATTTTCGCCATGGCCTCAGCCACAGCGCTGGCGTCTTCTTTGCTGAGCTTCTGGCGCTTCAGAGCTGAATTCAACTTCTCCTTTTGCATCTGCAATATGTATTTGAGCTTTTCGTTAATTAGCTGCGCGCGTCCGTACAAAGCTGCAACAGCATGGACGTCCTTCGCACTAGCTATACCTTGCAGATATTGATATTGCTGTCGAAGCAAACTTTTTACGGCATTTAACTCCTCTTCTGTTATTCCAGATGCTGTCTGACCCGCAGGTGCTGCGCGAATTTTTGACAATAACACATGGAGCTCCTGGGCCAAATTTGCATCCATCTCAACCTGTACGAGTCCACGCTGCAGCTTTCCCGTCAGCAGAGACTTTTGGGCTTGTAGTATATATTTCTCCAATGCGCTGCCCAGAGCAGACAAGCGTTGCAAGGTTTCCATCCTGAAATTCATGGCAGCAACGGCTGCGTATGCTTTGACGAAATCACCTCCACTGCATTCGTCAAGAAACTCTATTGACTTCAAGATTCTAAGCTGGGCTTCATTCTCATGTTGCAGAGCTATTGATGTATTTACCACCGAAGACAGCGTCGACAGACACAACTTGAATTCTTTCCAATCGGCCATATCCCCCAGAGCTCTCCGCATACTCTCGTAGTCTGAAGAAAAGGCCTTCTGAGAACAGTACGCATGCACTTGCTCACCGTGGGTTTTTGCCAGATTCACCAACTGCAATAGACCATCGCGGGCTCCTTCAATGCATGCTTCCATTACGCTGATGGTGTCACTCCGAATGTATGGAAGGTTTGGGTCTCCTCGGCATTTCGCCAAATCGTACTGCCGTTCCGCCTTTTCAGCTGTTTCCACATTCTGCTTCAATGTACTAACAATCCCCGGTGTCTCCCTTGCCATCAATTCATCTGTCAGCCTCGTTGCAACATCCGCCAGACTGTTGATGATGTTCCGACGAGCCCTCAAATCTCGCAATTTCTCATCATCCTGGATATCCATGACAGGTACGGGTTCTGGAACTTCGTGGGGCGCCACAAGGGCGACTTCTGGAGGGACAGACGGCTCAACATACCCCAATTCCGGCACACTAGGCGCTGGAGCTGGCGCTGGTTGTTGTGGAAGCTGTGGCAAGGTAGGCTGCATTGGCGTAGGCTCAACAGGTAGTGGCTGAGTCGGTTGTTGAACGGTTTCCACTTCTTCTGCCTCCTGTTCAATACCTGGTTGCAGCTGGTCAGGAGCCCCGGTAGGAGGCCCCTGCCCATGTGCCACTTCCTTTTCAATACCTGGTTGCACCTGCGAGGGGGCCGCCGGAGGAGTCCCCGCCTTCCGGACAAACTCCTTTCGACTCTTTTTCGCACGAGCTATCGGCCTCTGCACGAATCCTTCATCTGGTACTCCATCGCCACCAGGCTCCTCTGGTTGTTTCGTTTGTTTCTCATGTGGAACTTCCGCTTTTGGTCTACGCCGCGGCATCGGCACGGGCATTTGTGCCATAGGCATTTGGGGCAGGGGTATTTCTTTCGCAGGTTCCTCTGGCTGCGAAACTACCAGTTCCGGTGAAGGTTCTTCTTCTTGCACAGGCTTTCCTTCTTCTCCTGCTTCTTCTGCTTCTTTTCTTTCTTCCCCTTCCGCTTGGGGTCCCTCTTCGGGAGGTTTGACTTCTTCTTCCGCCTTCTTTTTGCGCTCTCTCTCCCTGCGAAGTACAACTGCCCTTATTAATATTAAGAAGATCACAGTGAAAGCAATTACGTGGCATCGATTCTCTGTAAGGTGTAAACTCGCCAGCTGGGGATTCGTTACTTCCTGCTGGGCAGCCAGTTCTGCATGCAACCTAGCCATCGTGTCGTCCGGTACTCCTCCGGTGGTTTCCAATTCTGCATCCTCCTCGGCGGCCTTTTTACCTGATGCCCGTGATGAGTACACATTCTGCTGCTCCACAATCCAGAGTGCCACAAATAGCCACAAACACCAGAAACACCTGCGCAAGCCAGGCAGCTTGAATGACTGCTTCTTGCTTTTCATTGTCACAATGAGGCCAGTCACCCGGAGTAGTATCAAACGTAGTGTAGATGCCAATAGACCCCTCCTAGGCTGACAACCTGGAGAGAGGTCGACTTGCTGAACCCCCCCAACACATTTAATGGTAACAGCTTGGTTCGAATACAGATCATGCAAAGATAATGCTACTTTTCAAGTGAATCACTCCGCAAAAATCCGCAGAGAATGATAAGGAAGGAGGGGGGCAGGGGAAGTTGTATCCTGCAGGCTTGCGATGTAGCTTGTGTGGGCCTCACGAAATACTTTCACACAAACTAATGACAGAAAAAACAACTGCTGATGGCGATTACAAAGAGGAATTAGTTTGACGGAACTCGTTCTTCAACTCGAAACTCGTATCGAGTGCTGCATCTCAAGGGCTTGCCGCTCACGGCGGGAACCGTGGAGCGCGAGGCCTAGAAGTGAATAGATGCATGATGTTCTGGTTATAGCATCCGTAAAATACGTTATTTAGAGATTCCGTACGCGGGAACCGTCATGGCCGCTCAAGCGGGGGCTATACAACGCTGGCCGACAGCAACCGGGCATACGGCCACCTTGGGGACAGGAGACCGAGTACAGGATGTCCCACCAGGGGATATCTGCAGAGCGGGCGTTCGGCCTTGCCCTAGACAAACGGTGTTTTGTTTTCGGATATTTTTTCCTTAGCCAACACTCTAACATTCATTTTGTTTATGTTCTTTTTCAGCTAACGGATGTGTCCGTTAGATCGCCGGCTGGCAACCCAACAGAGTAATTGTAATACACTGTCGCGCCTTTGCACCGCGTGCGCAACCTATCTAACAGCCCGTTCGTGACAATTAAGGAGAGGATCTACGTAACTTATGTTAGGAAATAGCAGTAACGGCAATATTGTGGACAAATATTAGAGGGAAAATGGTAATTCTCTAGTTAAAAACCCTCTGACCGTGCCCCCGCCCCTCCGCTGGGTGATCGGTCGTTAGATCATAGGACCGCAAGGGAATGCCGGCGTAGGGGCCGCGGCACTGTCACCGGCCCGCGTACTATAGTGACTCTGCCTCTTTGGAGGAGTCGGCTTACCTCCACTAACCATTTTCGCTCTACAGTTAGATTAACTCATTTCTAATTTTACACGTAATTATAAATTTCCCTTCGTTTTGGTCCACTAGTCGTCTTCGGTTGTACATTGTAGCGCTAGTACAGTAATGGCTGCATGACTATTTCTGCTTATGCCACCGGAATTCTAATTAGAAATTAAGTGAATTAAAAAACTTGTGTCCGTTTCGGTAAATTGGCATGTATAAATATATATAAACATACAGATGTCGATTGGCTTCCACGTCGCATTATCAATATCGTTGGAAAACATATAGGGTGCGTCTACAAGCTTCAGTAATTTCAGTGTTACTGGGCCTACGCTGTGAACCCCAGGGCATTACAAGGGTGCAGGAGCCATACCGCCCCAGTTGCGGGTTGGATCAGCGAATTATTTTTAGGGAGACTCTGAAGGGGCCGTCGTGCCTTGCGGCCCATAGGGCCCCATAACATCCGCACCGATTTGACTTTATCTATTTTGCTCATTTATTTATTTATTTACTTTTTGTATATGAACATGGTACATCAATCCTTCCTAGAACTAACTCTCTTTTTGCATATCGGGAGTCTCATCTGTGATCCTTCCAGTTTGACTCCTTACTGTCTTGCTAGTCTCAGGAGTGAGACCACAGGTGCGCCGTCATCATGATCACCAGGATTCTAGCGCTAATTACTAGCGTGTCCCTGATCTATAGGTTGCAACATTATCATTGTTGAAAGTATACGGTGCATGTAATGATTTCGTTAGTTTCAGTCTTACTGGGCCTGCCCTGCAGAAACCAGTGTTTTACAGCCTAACTATAGTTACAGTGCATTTCTCCGCAGCTAGCGATGCTGCGGCGAGTTAGCGCACAGACTTGAAGTAAGAGCTTCGGGGAAGTTCCTACCTCAAGTAAGTGTTTCCCCACAGCGCTTACTTCAAGTCTTTGCGTTATTTGCAGGCAGACCACGCTACATATGACGGAGCATGGAGCTTCATCTGCCTGCAGTCAGCATATGATCATTCACTTGGCCTTGGTAGGTTGCCTACAAGAAAATACAAACGCTCTATAAATGTATACAGAGGTCAAGCATGGAGTAAAGGAAGCTTCGTTAAATCGTCCTTGTGCGCACACGTGACGCTGGCTTGCATCGCCAGCTGCGGCGAGGTGAAATGCAGCTCCAGCTGCAGCTCCTGTTAAGCTGCCTCCTCCCCCGCAACCCCAGGCCCGGAGCTGAATGTTGCCTGGTCTGGCTACAGGTAGCACAGGAACCTTCACCTGGCTTGGTAGCTTGCGTGTAAGCAAATGCAAACCTTCTACAAGTACATCCAGAGGTAAAGCATGCAGCAAAGAAAGCTTCGTTGAAGCTTCGCTGTGTGCACGCGCAGCGAGGTGGGCTGCAGCCCCACTTCAGGCTGCCTCCACCCCGCAACACCCAGGCCCTGAGCTCAATACCCAGGAGGCCTGGAGACAGGGGAAGGATGTCAGATGCTCTGGGGAAGGTTTTGCTTTAAGTCTTTATCTACATTACAGCTCGCTTCTGTCCTTGATTAGGTCCAGTGAGCAAGCGCTGTACTCCCCGCAGCACCCAGGTCCTGAGCCCAACGCCCAAGATGCCTGAGGACACGGGAAGGAGGTCAGTTGCTTTTGGGAAGCTGTTACTTTAAGTCTTCACCTACACTGCAGCTCGCTCGTGTCTCTGATGAAGGCCAGAGAACAAGCGTCGTAATTACTCTGTAGGGTCGTGAGTTGACGGTCGAACGGACACATCCTCTAGCTGGAAAGGAACAAAAACAAAGTGAAACTGAGAGCCTTTGTTTCAGAAAAAACATCCGAAAACAGGAGACCGTTTGCCTGCGGCTTGGCTGAACGCCACCTCTCCAGACATATCTGGGGGGGAGATTCCGTAATCGATCTCGCCTCCCCAAAGGCGTCAGCATCTCCTGTTGCTGTCGGCCAGCGGTGTATAGCTCCCGCTTGAGCGGCCATGACGGTTGCGGCGTACGGAATCTCTAAATAACGTATTGTACGGATTCTATAACTAGAACATCACGCATCTAGTCACTTGTAGGCCTCGCGCACCACGGTTCCCGCCGTGAGCGGCAAGCCCGTGAGATGCAGCACTCGACACGAGTTTCGAGTTGAAGAACGAGTTCTGTCAAACTAATTCCTCTTTGTAATCGCCATCAGCAGTTGTTTTTTCTGTCATTAGTTTGTGTGAAAGAATTTCGTGAGGCCCACACAAGCTACATCGCTAGCTTGCAGGTTACCACTTCCGCTGCCCCCTTCCTTCCTAATCATTCTCTGCGCCTTTTTGTGGAGTTATTCACCTGAAAAGCAGCATTATCTTTGCATGATCTGCATTCGAGCCAAGCAGTTACCATTGAAATGTGTTGGGGGGGTTCAGCAAGTCGACCTCTCTCCAAGTGATCAGCCAAGGAGGGGTCTATTGGCATCTGCACTACGTTCGATACTACTCCGGGTGATTGGCTTCATTGTGACAATGAAAAGCAAGAAGCAGTCATTCAAGCTGCCTGGCTTGCGCAGGCGTTTCTTGTGTTTGTGGATGTTTGTGGTACTCTGGATTGTGGAGCAGCAGAATGTGTACTCCTCACGCGCATCAGGTAGAAACGCCGCCGAGGATGATGCAGAACTAGAAACCACCGGAGGAGTACCGGACGACACGATGGCTAGGCTACATGACGAACTGGCTGCCCAGCAGGAAATGGTGGATCCCCAGCTGGCGAGTTTACATCTGACAGAGAATCGATGCCACGTAATTGCTTTCACTGTGCTTTTCTTGATCTTAGTAAGGGCAGTTGTACTTCTCAGGGGGCGAGAGCGCAAAAAGAAGGCGGAAGAAGAAGTTAAACCCCCCAAAGAGAAACCCCAACCGGAAGGGGAAGAAAGAAAAGAAGCAGAAGAAGGAAAGCCTGTGCAGGAAGAAGAACCTTCACCGGAACAGCTAGTTTCGCAGCCAGAAGAACCTGCGAAAGAAATACCCCTGCCCCAAATGCCTACGCCAGAAATGCCCGTGCCGATACCGCCGCGTAAGCCAAAAGCGGAAGTTCCACATGAGAAACAACCAGAGGAGCCTGGTGGCGATGGAATACCAGATGAAGAATTCGTGCAGAGGCCGATAACTCGTACGAGGAGGACCGGAAAGCAGTTTGTCCGGAGGGCGGGACCTCCTACCACAGCCCCTCCCCAGGTGCAACCAGGTATTGAAGAGGAAGAGGAAGCGGCAGCAGAAGAACACGCCCAACAAGGGACTCAGCCACCACCTGTAGGGCCTACTACACCACAACCTACCTTGCCACAGCTTCCAGAACAAGCAGCTCCAGGTCCAGCGCCAGGTCTGCCAGAAGATGAGTACATGGAGCCTTCTGTCCTTCCAGCCGTTGTCACTTTGCCGCCCCACGAAGCGCAAGAACCCACACCTGTCGCGGATATCCACGAAGATAAGGAGCTGCAAGAATTAAGGGCTCGGCGGAATGTCATCAGCAATCTGGTGAATGTTGCGAACATGCTGGTAAATGAATTGCCGGGAAATGAGGCACGGTCAATTCTCGATGTATTAAAGGAAAACGTGGACACAGCTGAAAAGGCGGAGAGGGAGTACAATGTTGCAAAGGGCCGCATGGATCCAAACCTTCCACTCATTCGGAGTGAAGCCGTCATCAAAATGGGAGCGTCCATTGGAGGAGCCCGCGATGCTCTAGTGGAGTTAGTAAGTCTTGCAAAATTCCACGGTCAGCAAGTGTATGAGTACTGTTCTGAGAAGATTTTTTTTTCAGACGCCGTGGGTTTGCAGACAGCTCTGGATAATATGATGGATTCGAATGCATTCAAAATATCTCTCTTGACGCTGGGTAGGGTGGCAAGTGCTTCTATAACTCTGATACATGAGAATGAGGACCGGCTTAGAATCCTGCAGTCATTGGAGTTCGTAGACGAGTGCGGAGCAAATGATTTTGTCAAAGCTTACGCAGCCGTTGCTGCCATGAATTACAGGATGAAAACCTTGGAACGCTTGTCTGCTATGGACGGCGCGTTGAATAGATATATACTCCAAGCTCATAAGGCTTGGCTGATGGGAAAGCTGCAGTTTGTTCGCGTACCACGTGAGATGGATGCAAATCTGATACAGGAAATCCATGTGTTATTGTCAAAAGTTCGCCCAGCATCTGCGGGGCAGACATCCTCTGGAATAACAAATGAAGAAATGCAAGCTGTCAAAGATTTGTTTCAGTGGCAATATAAGGATGTTCAGGGTATGGAAGCTGCAGAGGACGTCGAGGCTGCCACATATGCGTACCAACGCGCGAATCAAGTTAACCAAAGGCTCAAATCCATACTGCAGGCGCAAAAGGAGAGGTTGAATTCAGCTCTGAAGCGCCAGACGCTCAACAAGGAAGAGGCCAACGCTGCCGCTGAGGCTATTGCGAAAATTGCGGAGACTGTCGTCGGCGACATCGAAGA